CCTCCTCCTCCTCCTCCTCCTCCTCCTCCCACCTCCTCCTCCTCCTCCTTCCTGATCCTCCTCCTCCTCCTCCTCCCTCCTCCTCTCTCCTCCTCTCCTCCTCCTCCTCCTCCTCCTCCTCCTCCTCTTTCTCCTTCTCCTCCTCCTCCTCCCCTCCTCCTCCTCCTCCTCCTCCTTTTCCTCCTCCTCCTCCTCCTCCTCCTCCTCCTCCTCCCTCTCCTCCTCCTCCTCCTCCTCCTCCTCTTTCTCCTCCTCCTCCTCCTCCTCCTCCTCCTCCTCCTCCTCCTCCTCCTCATCCTCATCCCCTCCTCCTCCTCCTTCCTCCCCCCCCCTCCTGCTCCGGCTGCTCCTCCTCCTCCTCCTCTCCTCCTCCTCCTCCTCCTCCCCCCCCCTCCCTCCTGCTCCGGCTGCTCCTCCTCCTCCGCGCAGGACGCCCAGGGAGCCTCGGCACAGCTCGGGCTGCCGCCCGTGGTAGGCAGGCTGGTGCGAGGCGGGCTTGGAGAGCTTTCCTCGAAGCGAACGACCCCATCCTGTCTGGTCGGGAAAACAGAGCAAATCCTCCTCCTCCTCCTCCTCCTCCTCCTCCTCCTCCTCCTCCTCCTCCCCCTCCTCTTCCTCCTCCTCCTCCTCCTCCTCCTCCTCCTCCATTGGGCGCAATCTTCCCAACGCTCCTGAGTTGGATTCGTCTCTGCCTTTTCTCTCGTCTCTTGCCCTTCCGCGTCGTGCCTGTATTGCTTTGCGGAGCAGCACACCGCTCGCGTTGACCAGCGCGGCCGCGGACTTAAGAGTGTTGAGCTCTCGTTTTGAATGCACCACCGTGGTCTCCACTCCTCCTCCTCCTCCTCCTCCTCCTCCTCCTCCTCCTCCTCCTCCTCCTCCTCTCGTCCTCCTACCTTCTCATGCGCTGCTCCCTGGGTGGCTGTGACCTGCGCAACTGTCGCCACTTCCGTGGGTTCCTGGAAGGTCCGGCGGAGTAAACGGGCACGCGCACTCAGACGAGGCCTCGCCGCTCCCAGGGTGGCTGTGAGTCGCGCAACGTGTCTTCACTTTCTTGGGCTCCTGGGAGGTCCAGCGGAGACGGAGGGCACGCGCACCCAGACCCAGGCCTCGCCTGTCGTCAGTTGCGCTGGCCCCTGGGATGTCCGGCGGAGCGGAGCGCCACGCGCGCCCCCAGACGAGGCCTCGCTGCTCCCTGGGTGGCGGCGAACTGCGCAACCGTTGCCTCTTTCGTGGGCTCCTGGCAGCTGCATCGGGGTCGGGGGGGCACCATGGGCGACTGCGAGCAGCGCAACCGTCGCCATGTTCGGGGGGCTCCTGGGGGGTCCAGCGGAGTCGGGGGGCACGCGCACTCAGACGAGACCTTCCCTGGGTGACTGCGAACAGCGCGACCGTCACCACTGTCGTGGACTCCTGGCATGCCCAGCGGAGTCGGGGGGCGCGCGCACCCAGACCAGACCTGGCTGTTCCCTGGGTGGCTGCGAACCGCTCCAGCGGAGTCGCAGGCCACGCGTGCCGAGACCAGACTTCGCTGCTCCCTGGGTGGCTGCGACCAGCGCAACCGTCGCCACTTTCGGGGGCTCCTGGGATAGACGAGCGCGTTCCACTACTCGAAAAGCAACTGCTCGCAAATGGCCCAGATCCGCCGCGTGGGATCTCCCATGCACCTCGTCGGAACGAACACCTATGTTTCGGACGCTTGCGAGTAGGCACTTTGCGAGTCGTGGACCGCGCTCGGTGAGTAGTGGAACGCGCTTGGTGAGTAGTGGAACGCGCTCGGCGAGAAGTAAAACGCGCTCGGTGAGTAGTGGAACGGGCTGCTGATGCTAGTGACGATGCTGACGATGATCATGATGATGATGATGATGATGATGATGATGATGATGATGATGCTGCTGCTGATGATGATGATGATGATGCTGATGATGATGATGATGATGACGCTGATGAGGATGAGGATGAGGATGAGGAGGATGATGCCGACGATGATGGTGATGATACTGACGATGATGATTCTGTTGTTGCTGATGTTGATGGTGATGGTGATGGTGCTGGTGCAGGTGATCGCGACTGTGATTATGATGCTGCTGATGATGGTGATGATGATGATGATGATGGTGATGGTGATGATGGTGACGATGACAATGATGCTGGTGATGATGGCTGTGTTGATGATGCTGATTTTGATGAAACTGTTGCTGCTGATGATGCTGAGTTTAAGGATGATGGCCATGATGATGCTGATACTGATACTGATGATGATGCTGAAGATTATGCTGATGCTGAAGGCTAGGATGATGATGTCGGCGAGGCTGATCACGGGGATGAGGATGAGGATGCAGACGCTGATGATGGTGATGGTGATGATGTTGATGATGATGATGACGATGACGCCGATGATGATGATGACGACGATGATCCTGTTGATAATGATGAGGATGACGGTATTGATGATGTTGATGTTGATGACGATGATGATGGTGATGATGATGATATTGATGTTGATGCTTGTGCTGCTGATGATGATGAGGTTGATGATGATGATGCTGATGCTGATGCTGATGCTGATGATGATGCTGATGATGATGATGATGATGCTGCTGCTGCTGATGATGATGATGATGATGATGATGATGATGATGATGATGATGATGATCGGTTGGGCCGTCTTAGGGGCTGGCTTGGCCTCCTGTGAGACAATCTCCAGGTTCCTTGGAGCTGTCTTGGGGCATTTTTGCGCCGGCTAGGGGTTCTTGGGCCGTCTTGGGGGCCCTCTTTCACCAGCCTCGAATTGATCCCTATCCCTAAGATTGACACGCCGAAAGGTGATGACAATCTTAGGGATGCGCCCTCAAAAACTGAGGGAATCCCTAAGATTGGCATCGTGATGGGGCGATACCCAGCATAGGGATAGGGATATGTTCCAGGCTGGTCACTCTTGGCCAGGTTGTGGAGTCGTGGGGCCGTTTTGGTGCTGCTTTGGGCCGTCGAAGTGTTTTCTCAGACCGTATTGGGCTCCACGGGAAGCCCTCTTGGGTTTTTTGGGGTCCGTCTTAGATGTCTCTTTGGCCATCGTGGAGTCCTCGTGGGCCGTCTTGAGCTGACGGCAACCCGAAAAGATGAGAATGCGAACATCGTTCAAGAGTCCAGTGGATGTCAATGAGTTTGGCTCCTCCGGGCGATGTTGGAGATCCTCTTGTGGTCCTGTTTGGGCCGTCTTGGAGGTGTCTTGGACTGGCCCGAAGCAATCTTCGGCCGCCTCGGGGCCATCTTGGGCCGTTGTCGAGGCATGCTGGGTCATGGTGGTGTCCTTGGCTGCCTGCACGGACCGTCTCGGAAGCTCGGGACGCAGGCCTACAGTTTTCAGCCAGGGATCCTGGCGTGGAAGGCCCTGAAGCGCTTGGCCTGGCATCGCTCGGACGTGTGCATTTTTCCTCTGTCGAGGAGCATCCTTGATCATTTCGCGAAAAAGCCATGCACGACACCGAACAAAAACACGGGGAATGGACGTCCGAGCGATGGCGAGTTGGGAGCAGCGCCTGGGAGTGCGGGAAGTGCACGATCCTCAAGCGGGTGCGCGTGGGGTGAGGGGTCTCACCTCGGAGGCAGCAGCCATGCGGGAAGCATGTCATCCTCGGGCGGTCGTGCGTGGAATGAGGGTGCCGGCGCTAGCTGTCGTGCGAACAGTGCACCATCCTCGAGCGGGCGCGCGTGGAATGATGGGGTTTGGCACTAGCCGCCATGCGTGAGGTGCACCGTCCCCCCGCGGGCACGCGCGGAAAGGAGGTTTGGGCATCAGCCGTTCTGGCTGCCATGCCCGAAGTGCACGGTCCCAGAGCGGGCACGATGAAAGTTGCCTCGGTGAGTACAGTGGAGACGCATGCCAAAAACGCCCTGCTTGCCTCCAGGGTGCCCTGTGCTTCTTGGGTTTCGATGGTGTTGCCACGGAAAGCGTCATTTTCCCACACAACCCATTGGACGCTCTGGGGTCTCAGGGTTGGGCTTCTGGTGGAAGGTTTCTTGTGGTCGAGCCCATACTGTAGCAGAGGGGAGGGGCTCCTGATCAAATCACAAAAACCCTGCTGTAGTAGAGGGGAGATGCTCGCAAGAGTCTGCGAGTAGAGGGGGGAAGCACGCAAGAGTCTGCTAGTATCGGGGCGGGGGGCTTCTTATTAGATAGCAAAAACCCTACAAGACAGTTCTTGGCGCTCTGCTGCGCCTCAGCGTGCCAGGTGGGCACGGTGGCGGGCCATCGAGTTGGGAGGTGTGCATGGGCTCCGGCTAGGTGCCTTGGCGCGGCAGCTCTGGCGGCACTCAGCAAACCGTGCACGCCTCTGCGGCCGTTGTTTTGTTCGTCGTTTTGCCGATCGGTGCGGGCCCTGGCACCCCCCCCCCCCTCCTCCAGGGTGGGGTCTCCCCTCATAGGACGCACTCTTGCAAGCAGTCGCTCCAAGCAGAGGTCCGGAGCCAGGCACTCCCCCTCCCCACCCCCCCTTTCTCCCCAATGGCGGCACGCCGAAGGAGAATCTCACGTCCCGGCAGGCTGTGTGACAAAGTTTTCCCGCCCGTGCACCTTGCGGGCTCACTGGCGAGCTCCGCGAATGATGTACAGTTGGCCGTCCTTACGACACTCCTGCATGGTCTCGGGGGCCCATTGAAGTCTCTGAGGCGGTCTTGTGGGATTGTTGGTACCCTGTTGGGCTGTCTTGGGCATGTCGGGCTTGTCCTGGTTGGGTCGTCCTGGGGCCTCTTCGCTGATTCGGAATCTTCTTAATGCGTTCTCGTGGCACTCCAGGGATCCTCCTTGCCCCCTACTTGCAAGTCGTGTGACTTGGGGGGGAGCCATACACGCCTGGTGGCCCGAAGCCCGGCGAGGGCCCCCAGGGCGAAAGACCCGCCGCTCCAATTTTTGTTGGAGCGTCGGATCCCTGGGGACTCACTATGTGCAAGCCATGTGGATGGGGGCGAGCCACACGCCTGGTGGCCCCGAAGAGGTCCGCGGCTTCAACCGGAAACACCTGCCGGTCCGGGTGAGCAGGCACCTCTCCTCTTTGGAGGAGGAGTTCAAGCAGTGTCCCAATGCCCTGCGACGGATCAAGCTCTTAATGAAGTCGCCCCTTTTGCTGTATCCAGTTGCCTGCGGCAAGTTCCGCCACCGTGCTGGGCCCCGGTGCCCTCGGAGGCGACTGTTCGAGGGACATGTGCCTTGAGTGGCGCAAAAAGGTACAGTACTCGTTGACGGTTGGAGTAACGGCCAGAGCGCCGTCGCATGTCACAATTCGGCCGTACCGAGTGTGTCTTCGATCATCGGAGGTCTTTCTGGGGCGGAGAAGGATGATGAAGGGCACGATGAGGAGGAGGGGTAGACGAGGAGGAGGAGGTGGAATACAAGGAGGAGGAGGAGGAGGAGGAGGAGGAGCATCGTAGTGGACGAGTGCCATGTGGAGCATCATGCTCTTGATGATGATGCCGAGGAGCAGATCGTTCGGAGCTGTCCTGGGCTCCCGTGGTGCAGTCTTGGGGGCTTCTTGGGGCCCTCCTGGGCCATCGTCGGGCCCTCCTGGGCCGTCGTCGGGCGCGCTCGTTCCGTCCTCGGGTCCTCCCGCCCGCCCGGGAGGTCTCCTGGCTGCCCTCGGAGGGCCCCCGGTGGGCGGCGAGAGGCCCACTAGACTTAGGGCCGCCTTGCGTCCCTCTGGAGGCCCTCTTGGGCCAACTTGGGGCCTCGGGCGGCTTCCGTGGTGCTGCTGGTCGTGGTGGTGCTGTTGCTGGTCGCAGTCGCGGTGCTGCTGGTCGTAGTCGTGGTGGTGCTGCCGCCTCCCGTCGTGGTGGCGCTGGTCGTGCTGGTTGCGCTGGTGGTGCCGGTGGTTGTGCTGCTGGGGCCCTCTCTTGGGCCAACCTGGGGGCCCTGGGCGGCTGGAGTTAAGTCGGGCCTGTCCCCCATACTGGGGGATCTTCAGCGAAGAATCAAAAATACCCCAAGCATGCCCCAAAAGGTCAAAAAATACTCCAAACACAGTCCCCATATTATTTTTGGACTATATATGTTTTGATGATTTGCGGGGTATTTTTTATGTTTCGTCGAAAACCCCATTGTAGGGGGAGAGGGCCGACTTAAGGCTTAAGCCTCAGCCCACACAAGAAGATACTGGAGCCATTTCGAGGCCCTCTTGAGCCGTCGTGGGGCAGTTTTGGAGGCCTCCGGGGCCCCCTTGAGCTGAAGGAGAGACCCGGAAAGGCAAGGCGCCCGAGCCTTTCAGAAGCGGATCTATAACAGCATTGGTTCGGGCAGTTTCGGGCCCTACTGGTGGTCCTCTTGTGGCCCTCTCGAACCGTCTTTGGAGCCTCTTGAACCGACTCGAGGCCGCTTTGGGCCATGTGAGGGCCATCTTGGGTGGCCTTGGAGGCATCCTGGGCCAGCTTAGCGGCCGCATTGGTGGCCTGCCTCGACCGTCTTGGAAGCTCGGGGGGCCTGCAGCTGGTTCATGGGAGCGTGGCCTCGTAAGAGCGGGCTCGCTGTCTCGTTTTGACAAGGGATCGTGGCCGCGGAAGCGCGTACCCATTGTTGTTTTGCAAGGGGTCGTTGCATCGGAAACGCGGATCCATTGTTTTTCACCATGCATCGTTGCTTTAGGAGAGGGAGTTCATTGCTTTATATGCAAAGGACCGTGGCCTTGAGAGCGCGGATCCATGTTTTGGCAAGGTTGTTTTTTTCCTTCGGGAGCGCAGACCCATCGCCTTGCATTGGTTCGTGGCCTCGGGAGCGCGGATACATCTGTTGTTCTGGCGGAGGACATGGGAGGGAGACGTTTGACCCTGACTGCGAGGAGAGGGAAGGATCCCTTAACCAGACAGTCGTTGGCGTTCGTACGACGCCTGAACGCGCCAGAGGGCACGGTGGCGGATTCCGTAGTGCAGCACGAGTTCGTGCAGTTTCTTCAGAAGAAGACTGGAGACGTGGACAGCTTCACGCTCCGCGACATTCGGCCCACGATCGAGGGCCGCCTTGGCCTGACCGATAAGATGAAGAAACAACACTCGCCCACCGTCGACCCGCTCTGGGGGCAGGACAGCTATAACAACTTCAATCGCCAGTGGTCTCCGACCGATTCTGACGGCAGCGCGGGCAATTTCAAGCGCCAGCTTTCTTTGAGCTCCGACCGCAGTAACCCGCTACCGTCATGTTCAGAAGAGGTACAGCCAGTGCAGATGAATTCCAGCGTCGAGCTGAACTTCGAGAGGACCACCTCGGGAAGGTGCAAGCCCTCCCAGTACCAGGTGCCTCTCACGAGGCCCGACTCGAAGCTGCCCCAGAAGCAGCTGAAGCTGCTGAACTCGATGCTGAAGATCGACGAAGAAAAAACGGCATAAGCATAAACTGTTGACGGTCGTCGCGGATGTCCTGGATCCGCGCTGGACACCCATCCCAGGGGCGGCGCCAGTGGCGCCGCCAGGGGGGTCCAGCGCAGATCCAAGAAATCCGCGCGGACTGTCAAAAGTTCATGTTTACTCCAGATTTCAAAATAAAAGGAAGGGGTCTGATTTAGGAGGGGATTTGGTTGGAGTTGTCTTGGAGGGTTCCGGTAGGGCCTGGGCAAAAGGCCGCCTTTTCCTAGCTGTTTTGGGGAAGGGGGACTGAAATTGCCCGTCTGGGAGGGTTGTGACCCCCTCCCTTGGATTACGATACATGGTCGGCGGCGAGCGAGGGGGGGAAGTGAGAAGGAGACGGCCTTCTCACAGAAGGTCCGGAAGCCCTCCGGCCTTCCGAGAAGTTTTCTGAGCCTTCCCCGGAGACAGGGAACATTTTTCAGAAGGCGCGCGGAGGCCTTCCGAGGAGTCCCGCCGCCTTCTGAGAGAATGCTTCTCCTTCTCACTCCCCCCCCGCACCAGGCCCAGGGGGCCCCAGGGGCTCCAACCCCCAATCCCTCTTCTTATTCCCCGGAGACAGGGAACACGTCTCAGAAGGCGCGAGGAGGTCTTCCGAGGAGTCCCGCCGCCTTCTGAGAGAACCCCTCTCCTTCTCACTCCCCCCCAATCCTTCTTCTTCTTCTTCTTCTTCTTCTTCTTCTTCTTTTTCTTCTTCTCCTGAGCACCCCTCACCAGGCCCAGGGGCCCCCAGGGGCTCCAACATTGAGCGAAACGCTGGAGGAGGAGTGAGGAGGAGGGAGGAGGGAGGAGGGAGGAGGAGGGAGGAGGGAGGCGGGAGGGAGGGAGGAAGGGAGGAGGGAGGAGGTAGGAGGGAGGAGGGGAGGGAGGAGGAAAGGGAGGAGGGAGGAGGGGGGGAGGGAGGATGAGGGGAAGAGAGGAGGAGTAGGAGAGGAGGAGGAGGAGGAGGAGGAGGAGGGGGAGGAGGATGAGGAAGAGGAGGCGGAGGAGGCGAGGAGGAGGGGAGGAGCGGATATAGGAGAGGAGGAGGAGGAGGAAGTGGGGAGAAGAGAGGAGGAGGAGGGAGGAGGAGGAGGAGGAGGAGGGAGGAGGAGGGAGGAAGAGGAGGAGGGAGGGCGGAGGAGTGAGGAGGAGGAGGAGGAGGAAGGGCAGGAGGAGGAGGAAGGGCAGGAGGAGGAGGAGGAGGAGGAGGACGCGAAGTAGGAGGGGGAGCTCGCCGCCAGCGTGGGGTGTGCCGTGCTTTCTTCTTTGAGCAGATCCTGCAGCAGACCCTGCTGGGCCTCTGCCCCATGCCCCTGTCCGCGGCGGGCCTGCGGCGCAACATGCTGTGCTGCCACGAGGCTTAAGTCGGGCTTGCCCCTCTACAGGAGGAACATTCAAACATAGAAAAAATAGTCTGCGGACGATGGTCCGTCTTTTCATGTTTTTTGATACTATTTTTGAATACTTCCGAGTCTTTTTAATTTTCCGTCCAAAATCCCCCTGTAGGAGGACGTGCCCGACCTAACACGAGGCCGACGGCGTGCCCCCCGAGCAGTCCGTGTGGTGCCGCTACGACAAGCTGCAGCTGCTGGGCGCGGGGCACTTCGGCGAGGCCTCGGCCGCGCGGCGCGGGGGGCCGGTGCCGACCAGCCGATCCCCGTCCTCAGTAGGAGCAAGGAGAGGCGACGCCAACACCAACAGGGCGAGGAGATGCGCGGAGGCAAAGTGGGTCTCCCTAGTGGCGTGGCCCCCCCCCTCTCGCTCGAGACATCCCCAGTCTCCCACGCGGTGAGGCATCGTGGACCTCCTCGCTGGAGGTGGGCCCTGGTGTTGGTATCGCTTCGCCTCCCTCTGGCCCATCCTCATCCCCACCACCCCAGCACCCCAGCTGGGGATCTGCGCCTCGGAGCTCGAAGGGAACAGCCCCGATCCCCATCAAGGGGGGTGAATCGGCCAGTGGTGCCCAAGGCCACGCCCGTGGGGGTAGGGATCGGTTGAATGATGCTCAGGGGGGGGGGGGGCCGAAGGGAAGCGAGAGGGGCCTCGGGCCCAGACACCCTCGCGCGGCGAAGTGATACATCACGACGGGAGGCCTTTCTCCATGTTCGGCCTCCGGGGGCCCTTGCCGGGCCCCGGGGCCGTCCAAGAACGATTGGGGACGAGAATCCGGTCCCGGGGCATGGGTCGAGACCTCTGGGCGTCGACGTTGTGCAAAAACAGTCGTGACGCCGGAGGGGCTGGCAAGGTCGGGGTTTCCCGGGGCGTTCTCGTCGGTGCT